GTTTCAATGGCTAAGTTAAAGTAATATGGAGAAAGAGTTTTCACCTTAGTGCAAAATGTAAATAGCATGCTTTTAAATCAAAAGCAAAGGTTTAACACTATATTTGGATAAAAATTAGTAAAAGGAAGAGAAGAAAGGAGAAGGAAAGGAAAGGAAGGAGAAGTGAAGGGAAAAAAATAATTGATATTAAGTTTGTTTAAATAAATAAAAGCAAAGGAAAAGGAAGTATAATATTTTTATTTAATTAAATAATTTTTAAAAAATAAAATAAGATAAAATAAAAAATAAAAAATTTATTAATTAAAAAAATAATTAAAATAAAATATTTTTATATATTTATTTTTTAAAAAACATTTAAAATAATAAATATACAAAGCCAATCCTCCCAAATCCTTCCAATTTGGAGGGATTGAAAAGAAGGTAGTGGAGAAAGTTACATCTCCCTCTGCATCCCTCCCCCTCTATTAAAATTAGAAACCCAAACACCATAATAAGAAATCTCTTCCTCCGTCTCCCTTCTCTCCCCTCTAGCTTCTCAATCCAAACTAAAGATAAAAGCGAAGCAGTTAGCGTTTTCACCAGGAAAATTAATCTTTCAACACAAGAGATTGGTTTATTTATACACATACCACAAACAAAACGTAAGATTATATCATAATTATAAACAGCCTGCAAAATTCAGGTCATGCAGTTCATAATTTAAACGAAACGATCTTGTAATTACAAGTGATAAATTTTGGAATTAAAAAACTAGTATTAAAGACTGAACTTTACCTCCAGCCAAAATTTCTAATTTTCAGGGCTGGCTCCACTAAGTCTACATATGTATGATGGCAGACCACCATCAGTTGTTTCTGGAGCTGCAATTCAGAAAATTAATCATGACACTGAGGAGATATATTTCTGCTTTAAAACATTGAAATGAGAATTAACTCCTTGTACCTGGAAGCTTATTTTCAGCAAATGACCAACTATATAGAGGACCCGTAATGTTAAGGACTGCAATCCAAACCTATTCTAATGAGCTGAAAAGATAAAAACAGGAAAACATATGAAACTAAAATCCATAAAATCTAATGATGGAGTAATCAACAACTTATATTCCATTCATAAAATGAAAAAAGTTCCTACAGCAACCAAAGTTCCTATTGCTCAAAGCATGATTATAAAACTGAAAGCTTCATAAGCAATGAAACTTTCGCATGCATAGATAAGCTAACAAAAACATCTCAGACTTGCTTTATTTTTTCCCATAGTTTTTGGAGCATAGAAAACATCTACCAACCATATAACTAAAAGACTAACAAAAGCAGAAAACATTGGAGCCAAGAGTTAAATGGGTTATAATCTCAGCAAACAATCCCATTTGATAACTTTTTGCATGAAAATAGGGAGAAAGGACGTTGTTTACAATTATAATTCAGAAACAATAAAATAAGAAAAACATGCATGAAAAAACATCAAAACTATAACTACTTCTGCTGGCCTAATCTTTCTTACCCTGTTACCCACATACCTAAAATATGGTAACTGTTACATGCATATGCACACTTACAACAGCCCATGGGTAGCATGTGCCTTGCACTTTACTCACCCTAGGGAAAGTTCCAAATAAACTCCGCGAGATCCATCATCAGAAATCACTTGCGATTTATAAGTGGACAAATAGGGGAAAGTTAGGTCTTTCTCCAAAATCTCATTACTTCCAACAGGGAACTTCATGGTTCTTGAAAATAAAAAGGATACTCGAAAAAGTGCCTGCAAGTCTGCAACATACAAAACATCAGATAAATATTTCAGATTTGCAATCCCCTCTTTTCCTTGTTGCTAGTTTTGTATGTAACAAATTTATTATCATAATAAAAA